ATTGCCATAACGACTGGGATAGGCGCTTTCGAGAGGCGATACAACCGCTTAGTGACAATCAATCGGAGCTGCACTTTCTAACCGGCCTCTCGGTCTCGATGCAGACACATTCAGTGTCTAATGCGAATGCGTCGAGTTGACTGACGGTTTGGCGCGGAAATCGGAGAGAACCTGAAGCCATGACATTTTGATGACTCGTCTGGCAGTCGGATTCGTCAGACGGCACCAACTGTCGACCGATCCACACTTCCAAGCGGACTCCAGACTGGAGACCTTGAAGGGACACGATTCGCCCGTGCTCCTTCGGCTGCCACCAGACACGGAGCAGAGATCTCGTCAATCGGCTTTAGGGTACAGCAACACAACTACTGACATGTGTTTGTGTGTAGAAAGGGTTGCTAGTTCCCGGCTGATCCCAGCCAACACGAGGCCGATTTATTTCGAGATCGAGTCAGTACTTAAAAGCGGTTTGACCGCGTTTTAACTACTCGGCCGTGTTGTCAGGGTGACTTTGATGAAGTAACTTCGTTCAAAATCCTCTTCCATGCAGTGTCAGGACAATTGTCGGCCTCGGAATGTACACTTGGTACATTCTCGGACATGTCATAGTCGATATCGTCTGTGAGGGTCGTCGTTTCAGGCGCAAAACGTTATGGAATCCGCCAAGTTCACACTCCGAGGCTGGAAAATGTCATGGATACGCATGGAAGGGGATTTAGAATAAGGTGCTCCCAACCAGGTTGCCCTAGCAACAAGTACAAGTTACGAGAGCGAGATCAAACAGAGAAAGAAGATTGCGACCAAATTATGAGCTATACTGTTTGTCGTGTTGCGGTTGCTTTCATTTCGTGTCTGCTGAAGACCTTCCCAGTTTCCTTTGGCTTTACACAAACCTCCCATTCGACAGGATTTTTCACACACAAAAGCACAAATGTGCATGTGGCTACAGGAACTAACCAACTCGCTTCATATGTCGCAAGAGCGAATTGGCTAAGAAGTTGTAAGGATGATGCCAAAAGGTATCAACCGGAAGAGCCAGACGACAATTCGTCAAGAGGAGTCGGCCATCTTGACACAACACAAAAGTAAAAAATGGAAATTCACACTTTTCAGGCAATTCAACAAAGCTGGAGATGCGCCCCGGCTTGTTGAAGTTGAGTTCCTCCATTCAAATCAGACATTGCAACAATGCATTGTTGTCATGGCCTCCGGAAATCATTTTCCTCAGGCAAAGCTTCTAAACGGGAATTGTGTCCTCGCTGGTCGACCCGTCTGTCTGCTCAGCCCCATTCGGTTAGTTCGAGTCCCGCAGTGGCTGCTGATGCGACTCTCAAATGCAGTCCGATTAAGCCTTCAGTACGCCTCACTCGATCGTGGCCAGATTAGAGTTCATTTTGGTTGCTAGGCGCCAGAAAAGGTGTCGCCAGTCGCGCACCCCATCGCCCGATCTCGAGCCAGCCTCATTGGTGAGGAGACCGAGGATCTCTTACATGCTGCCACATTTCGCCGCATGTATTGGCGCTGTTTGTGAATCGGCCAGAAACCGGCAGATTTCCTCTCGATACAGTCTGGCAGACTGTTGCCGATGGCAACTAGACTTTAATTGAAGAATGCGTACAAAGTGGACGGTTGTTTTTTCTTCAGTCGCCCCAACCCCAAGTGGAGTTGCGTTGAGCTTGGACAAAATGCAGGCTTGTATGAACAATACCTGCTCTATCTACCGCTGTCCCCAACCCTACAGGACTCACGCCGTGACCGTTCAGAGACGTCCCAGAGTGAACCTGCCTCGGGGCAGGCGAGATTTCGACTGTTCCGGCTGGAAGGGGACAGTGCCTTTCTGGGTCCCACTCGAGACGGCTTCGAGGCCAAGCTGCCTCTGGGACTCGAGCCCGTGACGGCACCAACGAGGACGTCGGATTGGCACAACTAACAGGGCTATACCGCCTGTAGAGCGGTCCATAATCATCGTAGAACTCGTCGCTAAATGCCATTCTTGATGGAACATTCTCTCTCAGCCACTTTATATTCGCATACACACACACATATGCTCACAAATATGTGTACACATGGACAAACATACATAATAATGGACAATACTGCTTTATGGTATTCTTCATAGAGCAAAGAATGACCGGTTTGGTGATAATAAACTTTTAATAACACGGACTCTCTGAGAACAATAGAATGGTAAAGTGACCACAAATGTCTCCATTAGAAAGCTGATAGTGCGGCATGGCGAGTGGAAAGGTCTGAATTCTGGCACAGAATAAAAGGACCTGCGCGAAAGCTCGAGGTCTTTAAATTGTTCCATGGCGCAGGCATCCAAAGAAGCTATCCAAAGATCCACATCCAAGAGAGAAAAATACCACTCCCAAATAAATCCACGCAACTGTACATTTGACGAAATCGTATCCCCAATCAAATCAAATCAAATCAAATCAAATCAAATCAAATCAAATCAAATCAAATCAAATCAAATCAAAT